CTTTGACAAAATTCAACAGCCCTTTATGCTAAAAACTCTCAATAAACTAGGTATTGATGGAATATATCTTTAAATAATAAGAGCTATTTATGACAAACCCATAGCCAATATCATACTGAATGGGCAAAAACTGGAAGCATTCCTTTTGAAAACTGACACAAGACAAGGATCCCCTCTCTCACCATTCCTATTCAACATGGTATTGGAAGTTCTGGCCAGGGCAACCAGGCAAGAAAAAGAAATAAAGCGTATTCAATTAGGAAAAGAAGAAGTCAAATTGTCTCTATTTGCAGACAACATGATTGTATACTTAGAAGACCTCATTGTCTTAGCCCAAAATCTCCTTAAGTTGATAAGCAACTTCAGCAGAGTCTCAGGATACAAAATCAATGTGCAAAAATCACAAGCATTCCTATACACCAATAATAAACAGAGTCAAATCATGAGTGAACTCCCATTCACAATTGCTACAAAGAAAATAAAATACCTAGGAATACAACTAACAAGGGATGTGAAAGACCTCTTCAAGGAGAACTACAAACAACTACTCAAGGAAATGAGAGGACACAAACAGATGGAAAAACATTCCATGCTCATGGTTAAGAAGAACCAATATTGTGAAAATGGCCATACTGTCCAAAGTAATTTATAGATCCAATGCTATCCCCATCAAGCTACCAATGACTTTCTTCATAGAATTGGGAAAAGCCACCTTAAACTTAATCTGGAACCAAAAAAGAGACCACATGGCCAAGACAATCCTAAGCAAAAGAAACAAAGCTGGAGGCATCACACTACCTGACTTCAAACTATACTACAAGGCTACAGTAATGAAAACAGCATGGTACTAGTACCAAAACAGAAATATAGACCAATGGAACAGAACAGGGGCCTCAGAAGTAATGCCACACATCTACAATCATCTGATCTTTGACAAACCTCACAAAAACAAGCAACTGAGGGAAGGATTCCCTGTTTAATAAATAGTGTTGGGAAAACTGGCTAGCCATATGCAGAAAGCTAAAACTGGATCCCTTTATCACACCTTATACAAAAATTAACTCCAGAAGGATTAAAGATTTAAACATAAGACCTAACACCATAAAAACCCTAAAAGAAAACATAGGCAATACCATTCAGGACATAGGCATGGGCAAAGACTTCATGACTAAAACACCAAAAGCAACGGCAAAAAAAAGCCAAAATACACAAATAGAATCTAAATAAACTTAAGAGCTTCTGCACAGCAAAAGAAATTATCATTCAAGTAAACTGGCAACCAACCAACAGAATGGAAAAAAAATCTTTGCAACCTACCCATCTGGCAAAGGGCTAATACCCAGAATCTACAAATAACTTAAATAAATTTACAAGAAAAAAAAAAAAAAAACCCCATCAAAAAGTGGGCAAAGGATATGAACAGACACTTTTCAAAAGAAGATATTTATGCAGCTAACAAACATATGAAAAAAAGCTCATCATCACCAGTCATTAGAGAAATGCAAATCAAAACTACAACATTAGAGAAATACAAATCAAAACTACAATGAGACACCAATCTCATGCCAGTTAGAATGATGATCATTAAAAAATGAGGAGACAACAGATGCTGGAGTGGATGTGGAGGAATAGGAATGCTTTTACACTGTTTGTGGGAGTGTAAATTAGTTCAACCATGTGGAAGACAGTGTGGCGATTCCTCAACGATCTAGAAATAGAAATACCATTTAACCCAGCAATCCCATTACTGGGTATATATATCCAAAGGATTATAAATTGTTCTATTATAAAGATACATGCACATATATGTTTATTGCAGCACTGTTTACAACAGCAAAGACTTGGAACCAATCCAAATGCCCATCACAGATAGACTGGATAAAGGAAATGTAGCACAGATACACCATGGAATACTATGCAGCCATAAAAAATGATGAATCCATGTCCTTTGCGGGGACATAGACTAAGTTGGAAACCATCATTCTCAACAGACTGACACAAGAACAGAAAACCAAACACCCGCATGTTCTCACTCATAAGTGGGTGTTGAACAATGAGAACACATTGACACAGGGAGGGGAACATCACACGCCAGGGCCTATCAGGGAGTGGGGAGGCTAGGGGAGGAATAGCAGGGGTTGGGGGGATTGGGGAGGGATAACATTAGCAGGAATACCTAATATAGATGATGGGGGGATCGATGCAGCAAAACACCATGGCAAGTGTATGCCTATGTAACAAACCTGCATGTTCTGCACATCTACCCCAGAACTTAAAGTATAATAAAAAAAAAAAAAAGTCTCATCTAACTGCTAATAAACTTAATATTTCTTCTGAATAATTGTGTTTTTGTCTTGTGCCTTATGAATCTTAAAAACCCTCTTTGCTGTGGCAATCAGAAATATGAGACACAAATCTGCAGATTTCCTCTAGGAATTGTGCAGTAACTTAATAGTGGGTATCCACCATCCATACTTGTTTACCCTTCATGCTAATTTCATTAGCTACTTCCTAAAACTTTTGACTAATAAAACTCTAAGATCAATTTCAAATTCTTTTTGAATAATTCAGAGGATAAACAGAAGTAAAAATGCTGAAAATTACCCAAGAGTAATCGAGATTCTAAAACTAAGCAAAAAAGCAGGGATAGTCAAGCAAACTAGTCAATTATTTATTAGTCAAGCATTTACTAAGTGGCCATGGGAAACAGAGCTATGGTTCTAGTTAAAAGAACAGTTTTAAATATACTCCATCTTTCCCAATTTCCTAAACTAATCTTTGAAAAGATTCTCTTTTAGAACTTCCTTTTCATTCTTTATACTACAAATATATTTATAACAGGTCTGTAGCCTGTTAGGAACCAGGCCACACAGCAGGAGGTGAGTAGCAGGTGAGCAAGCATTACCTTCTCAGCTCTGCCTCCTGTCAGATCACCAGCAGCACTAGATTCTCACAGGAGCCTGAACTCTATTGGGAACTGTGCATGCAGAAGATCTAGGTCACAGGCTACTCATGAGAATCTAACTCCTGATGATCTGAGGTGGAAGTTTCATTCTGAACCCCCTCTGCCCTGCTGGTCTGTGGAAAAACTGTCTTCCAGGAAAGACACTAAACACTAGTGATTTAGTGATTTAGAACACTAAAAGTAATGAGGCATCTTTCATATCACTAGAGAAAAATTTTAGGGAGTATCATCAAAATAAAAATAACAAAGTAAAGCTTGCTTCCTTAACAGATCAGGAGCCCTGTCATTACAATAACAGATTATCTTGAGCCCTGGGCAGCAACAACAAATTATTAGTAAAAAAGACGTACAGACACTGTCTTCTGTGACTGACAAACAGGCGTCTTACCCTATTATCAAATGCAGAGTTCTAGGCTGGACAGGGTGGGTATTTTGGCTTTCAGGCAAGGCAATGGGTCCCTTATCTGCTCTTTAACTGATGACCTTTCCATTTATTAGCAGTGTATACTAACTACCCCAAAGGTAGATGTTTTAATTTTTGTTTTCTGGGGGGAAAGGGATACAGATAATTTTGTGATAAGTTTTTTATGTCAATTCTACAAATGTAGCTTTAAAAGCAATGTAATTTCAACAACTCACTTTTGTGAAATGGAAAGTTATAGGAGTAAATCAGGGATTCCCTGAATTTTTCCAATCCCATTTGTGTATTACCTCTCTAAATGTGAAAGATTTTAAACCAATGATTATTGGGGCCATAAATATGTCTAAAAATAAGCCTCCCTTCTAAACCTTTGCAATTCCTTATGGCAGTGGTTCTCAAACCTCAGTCTGTATCAGAATCACCCGGCAAGCTTGTTAAAACACAATCTGTAGGACCCTAACCCCAGTTTCTCATTCAATAGGTCTGGGGTATTGCTTGAGAGCTGGCCGGTCTAACAAGTTCCCAGTTGACAGTGATGCTTGTCTGGGAATCACATTTTAAGAACTGCTACACCTGAAGGCAATATTATACATTTAGACTAGTTAAAATATCATTTTGACTAAAAAGTTTATGATAAAGTTTTGGCATCCTACCCAAAACACAAAGAATCACAGAAATGATAAAACCCAATGTTATTAAAGCTTTGAAAAGCAAGTGCCGCAAATGTACTAATTTATACTAATTTAAATACTAGGGCGCAATCAGGTAAAATACTGAAAAGAGATGTTAGAAATGATAATGATCCAAAGGGAAAAAAATTTGTATGTGCCAAAACATTCACTCACCACTTATGACTACAAAATGCCAAACTACCGGAGAATAATTATACAAATTATAACAGACTGAACAAATAGAGAAAAATTATACAAATTATAACAGACTGAACAAATGAAGTATTATTTAACCATAAAGATGACCAAAAAATGAAGCACGTGCATGTGCGCGTGTGTGTGCACACGTGCGCACGCACACACACACACACACAGGAAATGGAAACAAAGTATGAAAGAAAACAGAACATACAATGGATAGCAGCAATATGTTTAATGATAAAAATCAGAAGTAGCCTCAATAGATGCAATATTTATTTAAGGTGAATAAATTAGCTATTTCAGACATAATATTTTTATAACATAGCAGTCAAAATATTTCACAGAATATTTTAAAGTAGCTTCTGGTCTACAGATTACAGTAACCATCTAACCCACTGAAAATACTTTCAATATTTATGAAGTAAATAGTTAAGAAAAACATTAAAAGTAAAAAAAAAAAAAAATTTACTAAGATAATCTAATTAAAGTTCCTAGATAATGCTTCCTTAAAAATTTAAACATGAAGAAGGGAAACTTAGAACTATGTTGGGCACAGCTAGCAAAATCATTTGAACCAAATGTACAGCGTGGTAAAATCGGTATTTTAATTAGAAAAAAAGATTGGGATTCAAAGCCTAGTAACAATCTAAAAAAAAAAATCTTTTCAGAAAAACTAATGCGATCATTAAAAATATTTTTTAAAAACTGTTAAAAATAATAACTTTTAAAGTGTATAACTTACTGTTTTGATTCACTGTGACAAACTTCCAAGGTTGGATCATTATAAATAAAAGCAGCCTCTAAGTCATTGATCCTTACTCGGTATATTCTACACTGTTTGCTGTTCAACTTGATTCTATTCAAGTTTGCAACTGTGGGAAATATGGTCAGTTCCACAAATCCCTGTAAAGATAGAGTAACAATTTCATTACAAAGACTGGTATGTTTCAGAATACAGTTTTTATTTTTACCACTTATATACATACTACACTCCAGAAACAAAATCCCAAATAGCTATACACATACATATGTTTTCCAAGTATTTTAATTTCAAACATGATTGTCCTAGTGACTGAATGGGTGTGAGTTACGTAAACTGTATCATCCCAGTAGTTCATATTCACTATCAGTGTAAATTAGGCAGTCAGAAACAAGTAAAAGGCTTGCTACTCTCAAAAACCAGAATTTCTAAGCAGACTAGGACTAAGGGAGGAAGAAAAAAATGATAGCAGAAAAAGAATCAAAACCAGAAGACTGATGAGAGAAAGAACATAGAAGAAAAAAATGGGGTAAAAAATTATACCACTGAAGCTAACAAGTATGAGTTTCTGCTTATGAGGTGGCAAGCGCTACAAAAGATATCAAGGCAAGTAGGGAAAATCTGCAGCTATATCCAGATCCATGTTCTACTATGTTAGCTGTATATCTGTATCCGACAATCTATCTGTATCCGACACAGGAAAACCAGTTAAATACAGTCTTTCCTCTCGTACTGAATCAATGGGAAAGATGAACAGATGAATGAGGGAATGTATGTCCAGTGTGATTTTAATATCCTGGGTTGAAAGCTGATGTACTCAAACATAAAACAAGGGAGGGTATAAACAGTAATATTTCAGGAGCTCCAAAGTGAACAGAAAACATTCAGAGGCTGTAACAGAAATATCTAAGACAAAATTCAGATAGTAACCACAGAGAACTAGATTATAATGGCTGCTACTGGCCAGGCACGGTGGCTCATCTGAGGTCAGGAGTTCAAGACCAGCCTGGCCAACATAGTGAAACCCCATCTTGTTAAAAAAAAAAAAAAAAAAAAAAAGTTTAAAAATGGCTGCTACCATGTACCAGACATTGCATTAGATACTTTCCTGTGTTCCCTCTAATCCTAATACCAACTCTAAGAGACAAGTACTACTTTATACTTTTTACAGAGAAGCTACAAATACTACTGTAAAGTATTTTTAAAAAAGAACTTTTTACAGATAACAAAGGTAAAAAAAAATTAGGTCACTAAGAAGTAGAGAATTGAGATTCAAACACATCTAAATGATTCCAAATGATTCTCACTATGTCATAATGCCTCTGGGTAGAAAGGTTTTAAATAATATGCAAGAATTGTTTTTAGGTAACATTTAGCCCAACTGCCTCAAGAAAGCCTAGAGATTCTGTACCCCTTTGTTCTCAATTCCCAAGTAAGAAGAGGGCCATACACTCTTAAATTAGAACAATCTGCACAGATCTGTGAGTTAGAAATGCAGAAAAACAGAAGTGCAAACGCCAAAATACAGTTGATAAAGATTCTGTGTTTAAAGGTGTAAACTGAGCAGCTGTAGGAATAACCAGAATCCCTTTAATCAGCATATCTGTCATCCAATGACCATTTTAAATTTAAATGAGCTTGGATCAGCTGAAAGATAAGAATTAGAACCAAGACAACTGCAAAACAAAAGATTAAAGAAAGTGCTGTCAACAGCTACTTTGGTGGGACATAAGAACAGCATCTGGCTTTCTAAACTCTGGTAACAATGATAGAATGAAGGAATGCATTTCATGAAGATACGAAAAGCCCAAACTCCTTGCACCGTCAAGTCTCTAACACCACCGGGGACTCTAACCTACACCTGCCTGAAACACTCAGACCCATTAACCTCTACAGGTCTTCAATCTCTGCCACACTTAGCCACTGGTCATCTGCAAGCCCCTCAGGTCATCGAGCCTCTCACTCCTTGCTGCTTGCTCTCTCCCCACCACTTCACAGATAACCATCCTCCTGGAGCCCACATTCCATTTTCAACATTTCCCCTGTGCCTTTCAACCTTTTCTAAAACTCCCTCTCTACCCTCTAGCCTTAAATGAAATGGCTCCTGAATCCTCCTAGACAAGAAGCTACTTACTCTCCCATTCACTATAAATGAGGGTAGTGGAAAATAGGCATTCTCCTAGTTTCGACTACTGCTTCTGGGCGATTTATAGGATTTTAATTTAATGTACACTATAAGGGTAAGGGCGGCATAGTGTCACAGTTAAAAGCAGGTGTTCTGGAGGTAGACTCCCTGTATTCAAATCCTAGCTCTGTCACTTAGTAATTGTATGATCTTGAGTTAGTGACCCCAGCTCATTGTGCCTCAGTTTTCTCAACAAAAATAATGACACTACTGGCCTTTTAGTGTTATTATGACAACCGAACAGCCAGGCATGGCTAAAGTGGAAGGATTGCTTGAACCTGGGAGGTTGAGGCTGCAGTGAGCTGTGACTGTGACATTGCATTCCAGTCTGGGTGACAGAGCAAGATCACATCTCAAAAAACAAAACAAAAACAACTGAACAATTTAATACATGGAGCGTACTTAAAATTGTAGCTAGCACCTAGCATATGCTTAATAAATGTTTTTGTTATTCTTTTCCTGCTTATCGTTTATGTTCATGCTAGACAGGTACACCATCCTCTATGCTTCTTATCTATACAACTCCCCAACATTTGCTGAAGGCTCATACTCTCGCTTTTTTTTTTCTTTTTCAGAGACAGGGTCTTGCTCCGTCACCCAGGCTAGAATGCAGCGTAGCAATCATGGCTTACTGCAGCTTCAACCTCCCAGGCTCAAGTGATCCTCTCACCTCAGCCTCCAGGCTCAAGTGATCCTCCCATCTCAGCCTCCAGAGTAGCTGGGGACTACAGGCATGCACTACCATGCCTGGCTAATTAAAAACTTTTTTTCAAGAGAGATGGGTCTTATTATGTTCCCCAGGCTGGTCTGGAACTTCTGGCCTCAAGTGATCCTCCAATCTCGGCCTCCCAGAGCACTGGAATTACAGGCATAAACCACTACACCTGGCCACATACTCTTCTTCTGTAACATGTCTGCCATCACACTAAGTGACTTGACTATAGATGTGTCTGTGCCATCCAATAAGACTGCCTCAAAGTTCCTTGACCTCAATTTCTACAATCTTCAATTCCATCTGGGAAGAATCAAGATCACACTCTGAAAAGCACTTCATCACTGCTTGCAACTGCTCCGATGCTGACATTATGAACTCAACTGTTCGCAATGTCTCTCCTGCCACTCTTCTCATTACTTCTCTCCCAGTCCTCCTGCCCAACTGCCTGAAATCCTCCTGTCCTTGACTTCTTCCAGTTTCTCACCATAATCTTCTTGGCACTCCTGGGGCTACTTTTGTCCCTTCACCCTAAATCCTTAAATTCAATCACTCCTCTGTCAACTACAAATTCTCTTGCCCCTCTGTTTCATGTACCCATCTTTCCTTCTGTTTAAGAATGATATATCCGCCGGGCATGGTGGCTCACGCCTGTAATCTCAGCACTTTGAGAGGCCGAGGCAGGTAGATCAAGAGGTCAAGAGATTGAGAACACCTGGCCAGCATAGTGAAACCCCGTCTCCACTAAAATACAAAAATTAGCTGGGCGTGGTGGTGCGTGCCTGTAGTCCCAGCTACTTGGGAGGCTGAGGCAGAATTGCTTGAACCCAGGAGGTGGAGATTGCAGTGAGCCAAAATTGCACCACTGCACTTCAGCCTGGTGCCTGGCGACAGAGAGAGACTCTGTCTCAAAAAAAAAAAAAAAAAGGCCGGGCGCAGTGGCTCACGCCTATAATCCCAGCACTTTGGGAGGCTGAGATGGGCGGATTATGAGGTCAAGAGATCAAGACCATCCTGGTCAACATGGTGAAACCCCGTCTCTACTAAAAAAAAAAAAAAAATACAAAAATTAGCTGGGCATGGTGGTGCGCGCCTGTAGTCCCAGCTACTCAGGAGGCTGAGGCAGGAGAATTGCTTGAATCCAGGAGGCGGAGGTTGCGGTGAGCTGAGATCGCACCATTGCACTCCAGCCTGGGTAACAAGAGCAAAACTCCATCTCAAAAAAAAAAAGAATGATATATCCAGTGGTCCTTTAGAGGCTACTCCCAACAGTATCATCAGAAATATCACTATATTTCTCTTTCCTCAATTATAATCTTTCCTTTCTGTAAATTTTTTTCCTTTGCCTACAGACATGATCAAGATCCAAGGTTTTAAAAGCCTGTAGATCTATGCTACCCTCAAATGAATTTTTTCTTTTTCCCATACCTTCCAAACAGAAATTCTTGTAGAGTATGTTCACTGTTCCAACTTCCTCTTCAGTTCACTATGACTTATGCAGTCACCAGTCCACTGAAATTACCTGATATGGTTTTTGTGTCCCCACCCAAATCTCATCTTGAATTCCCATATGTTGTGGGAGAGACTCGGTGGGAGGTAAATGAATCATGGGGGCAAGTCTTTCCGGTGCTGTTCTCGTAAAGTAAGTCAGTCTCATGAGATCTGACGGTTCTAAAAATGGGAATTTTTCTGCACAAACTTTTTGCCTGCTGCCATCCAGGTAAGTTGTGACTCGCTCCTCCTTGGCTTCTGCCATTATTGTGAGGCTTCCTCAGCCATGTGGAACTGTAATATCTCCATTAAACCTCTTTCCTTTGTAAACTTCCCAGTCTCGGGTATGTGATCAGCAGTGTGAAAATGGACTAATACAGTAAACTGGTACCAGTAGAGTGTGGTGCTGCTGAAAAGCTACCTGTGTGGAAGCAACTATGGAACTGGGAAACAGGCAGCGGGTGGACCAGTTTGGAGAGCTCAGAAGACAGGAAAATGTGGGACAGTTTGGAACTTCCTAGATACCTGTTGAATGGCTTTGACCAAAATGCTGCTAAGTGATATGAAAAGTAAGGTCCAGGCTGAGGTGGGTATCAGATAGAGATGAGGATTTACTGGGAACTAAAGCAAAGGTGGCTCTTGTTATGTTTTAGCACAGAGATTGGTGGCATTTTGCCCCACCCTAGAGATCTGTGGAACTGTGAACTTGGGTAGCCAGAGAAGAAATTTCTAAGCAGCAAAGCATTTAAGAGGTG